CCCGTCCCCATCACTCCGCCCCGCCTCTGCGCTCACTTGGTCCCACCCCCGCCCCGCTCTCGTTCTCCCCGGCCTCGCCCCCCACGCCGGCGCTGTTCCAGTTCGCTCTGCGAGTTATTTACATAAAGGGCGTGTCCTCTGGTGCTATTTGCATGGAGAAGGGGCCTGAGGCGCAAACTCAATCCGGTGGGAGCCCCGGACGGCTCCGAGCGGCCTAATTTGCATGGGGCGGGGCCTGCTCGCACTTACCGCCAGGTGCCGCTTCCTCTTCCAGCCTGCTTCCGCCGCCTTTCTTCCGATTTCCGCGCGCCTTTTTCCGGCGCCGGCCCGCGGCCAGAGGGGATGCTCCCGAAGCAGCGACGGGCGCGGGTCCGGTCCGCCGACGGCCCTGCCTCCTCCTCCCCGCCGCGCTTCCCGGGCGTCGCCATCTACTTGGCGGAGCCGCGCATGGGCCGCAGCCGCCGGGCCTTCCTCACGCGCCTGGCGGTCTCCAAGGGCTTCAGGGTCCTGGACGCCTACAGGTGCGCGGTCGTGGAGAAGTTTGCGGCCCGGGGTGGGGCCCTTGCCCGCGGCGCTTTGGGGGGGTGGCACCTGTCCGGGGCTCCTGTTCGGGGCGCCTTGGCGCGGGGGGGCACCTGTGTGGGGGCTCCTGCCGGGGGTGACTTCAGGGGGGTCACCTGCCCTGGGGTTTCTGCGTGGGACGCCTTCAGGGAGTCACCTGCCGGGGGCTCCTGCCCGGGGCCCCTTCATGGTTGGGGGGGTGCCTGCACGAGGGGCGCGGGGCGGGTGCTGCGCCCATAGGGGACCGAGGGACGCGTGTGTGGGATCGCCATGCCGTCACGCCCCGACGACACTGCTGCGTGGCGTGAGCGCCTAAGCACAAAATGCCCGTGCTCAGAACTTTGCAAGTTACCAGCCACACTCACAAGCAGTATTTCTTTTCAGCTGAGGATATTGAGATCTAAAACGATTCACCTGGCAGTGGAGGGGCACCTGAGGTTTTGGATTCCAAGTTAACCCTGGCATTTCATGCTCATGTGGCTTTTCTCTCAATATCCTCTTGTATAAAAGGGTGCTAGCAGTTAGGGCCAGGAGTGTTCTGTAGGACAAGGAGAGAACGTATGCCAGAGGCTCTGTAAAGAGCTATAGGGCGCTGTGGGGTGGTTAAGGATATCAGTGGCTGAGGGCCTTGTGCCCTCGGTGAGTTCATCTTGCCCTATTAGCCAAAGTGACGCCTCCCCTCTGGGCTGAGACAGTGACTTGAGTAAGACTCCCAGATCAGCAAAAATTATGGGCTGCAGAGACACTGCTGAGATTAAGGAAATGGGTTCCAGTAGGTTTAAGGTTGGAAGAGCAAGCAAACCAGGGGCTAGTCCCCCAGCAGCTTTTTTGTTTGTTTGTTTGTTTGTTTAAGTGATTTAACCATTCCCAGTGGTTAGACCCGCTCAGAGAGGAGTTTAGTGTGCTGGGTGCTGTCTAAGCCTCTAAGCCTTTTGCTTATGAGTTTGTTTAATCTGTGTAACAACCCGACACAGTAGATAGGTTGTTACCTGCTTCAAAGAGGAAGAAATCAGGGGCGCCTGGGTGGCTCAGTCGTTAAGCGTCTGCCTTCGGCTCAGGTCATGGTCCCAGGGTCCTGGGATC